CTCATAAAACATAAATAGCAATAACTTCATGTATAATGAATTCAAGGCAATAAGTAGAATAAATGAGTTCAACTACACTTGCCATCAACTAATTCTATGCCTTAAAGCCTTAATTTAAGGTTTCATAAAAATCTACAAACCCTAGCATAAACCCTAAAGTCATGGGAGGTTCTTCCTTACCTTTTTAAAGACTTCCTCCAACAAATCCTTTGCCTTTGACTTCTTTTACACCTTAATCCTACATATATAACATTATACCTCAACATCTACCTCAAATCTTCAAATCACATCAAAACTAAAGTTTTTAATCCTTACCTTAAACCCTTCAAATTGAAGATCCAAGGCTCCTATCTTGTTCTCCTTGAAAAATTATGCAAAACTCCTTGAAAACCTAGAGAAAGAAAGCTTGTTTCATGGAAGATTTGAGAGAAAATGGAAGAAATGTTGAAGAAAGGCTCTCTCCTTTGGCTTGAACGAATTTCATCTCATTTATAGGAAAATATTTCATTTATTTTCCAAAATTATGCAATTGGCCCAATTATTTTAATTGTATAACTCATAAGTCCTTAATTCTTCATATAAGGGCATTTTGGTCATTTCACACTAGACATAATTATTACTTAATTAATGCCATTAAATGCAATGAAGCCTACTCATCCTTGACTTTTTCAATGCTTATCCATAGGCAAAATAACCATTTTGCCCCTAAGCCTCTTTATGGATAATTGATTCATACCGTTCCAAATGAATTGACTATTTTGCCCTTAGTTAGATTTTATGCTTTTTAACATAAAATAAACATTTAAAGGACTATTTTGAGTTAGGAACATACCTTTGACATCTTGGGTATTACATTTCCTCCCCCATTACAATAATTTCGTCCTCGAAATTATAGAAACAGCTCCGAGTATCGACTTCTCATATCTTGCTCCATTTCCCAAGTAGCTTCTTCTATCTTGTGATTCCTTCAAAGCACTTTAACTAGTGGAATTTGCTTGTTTCTAAGCTCTTTTACCTTTGTGTCAAGGATTTGAATTGGGCGTTCCTCATAAGCCAAATTATCCTGTAATTCCACTTCCTCCATCTAAAGCACATGTGAAGGATCACTAACATACTTACGCAACAAAGAGACATGGAAAACATTATGAACTCTTTCCATGCTCATTGGCAGCGCAAGTCTACAAGCTACTTTGCCTACCCTTTCCAATACTTCAAAGGGTCCAATGTAACATGGAGTAAGCTTGCCCTTCTTTCCGAATCTCATAATATGTTTATAAGGTACGACTTTTACAAAAACTTTGTCACCCACTTGGAATTCCATGTAATAGCCAATACTACTCAAAAACTTATAATGAAATACCTATAAAATAAAATAAAGAAATTGGGCCCAAAATTTTCTTTTATTAAACATATATACATATTCTTTACAAACATATACATTTTTAAACAAAATGTATAACATATACGGAAGTCATTAAAAACATAAGGGACAGTGTAACCGCTCCTTCTCGAACGTCGACATCCATCCGACAGTGTCCTCACCTAGGTCCTGCAAAACAAAGGAAAACAACGGGGTGAGCACTAAAATAATGCTCAGTAAGTAAATCCTCTACTCATGCTAGCCCCGTAACTCTCTCTCTCTAATTCTTTCCTTACAACTCCTCATTCAATTTCTCTTTGGGTACTTCTCTCTCTTTATCTCTTTCTCGTAGAACTCTTTTCTAGTAACTCTCTCGTAAGTCACGGCCCCATCTTACCGGTGGCACGGCCGGGACTCACTCCCACTCTATGTGACCTCTACTCATTCTAGCCGATCGGACTCGGTTATGCATGGATTCGGAACCCTTGGCCATGTGAGTCTATAATCTCTCTCTCTCGGGTACTCGGGTATAGCCCTCATCCGCATACACTCTCACAGGCTACACCACTTCTCTATCTGATACTCAGGCCGCTCTCTCTCAATGCGGCGTACATGCGGGAATACTCTACCCATTACTCACGAGTTCCCCATCGCACAACCTACTCTATTCTCTTTCTCTTAACTCTTAAAGTAGCTTATACTCACATTCTCTACTATATCTCAAGCTACTTCTCAAGTATACAAACAAAGGTGTAGAGCTAGCTCATGCTCCCTAATGCACTAATGAAATGCCAACTACAAGATTTCCTCAAAACCGTCATTCTGCACAGGTCACACTAAAACGGCCATAACTTGTGCTATACACCTCGGATTGCTACTGTTTTGGTCTCGTTTTAAAGCTTAGAAACAGGGCTACAACTTCTCTGTTTCAGTCTCAGCCCAGTTCAAACCGTAAGAGGCCCAAAAATTACTTAGAAAGTTATGGCAGTGACAGGGCAAACTTCCCTTAGACATTTCATCAAACATAATGCATGCATACTTTAATTCTAGTTTTGATACATCTTTACTTCTTTCTTTAACCATCCATTAATGGAGCAAAACTGCTCCACAATAAATCTAAACATGGCCAAGAAAAACACTTCAAATATTCTACTTAAATTCTTTCTAAATGTAACCAAACTTTACTTGGTTACCACAACTTCATTTCTACTTCTCATGGCTCAAATCTTCTCATCAAAAGCCATCAACTCATCAATAATATCATTCTCAACAATCAATCTCAAGCTCATAAACATAAGCATACATATGCATCATTTGATTGCTTGAATCTTAACTTGGGTTGGATTTACTTACCTTGTGCAAAGATGGCTTCTTTAGCACTTTTCCTTCCCTTTGTGGTATTGTCTCCTCTCTACAACCCAAAACAACCATAAGGACAGCAATAACCAATTAAGACTTCACTACAATTATAAGAAAACTCACATCTAAAGCATGAATCCTTACCTTAGGATGCCTTAGATGAAATCTCTACTCAAAACCCCTCTTAAATCCTTTAGAAATCTTGGAAGATTGGATGGAGAAATTGAGGGAAAGTGGGCAAATGGAAGAGGCGGTGGAATGAAGAAATAAAGGGTTTCTCTACACTTAACCCTTTTTAGTTCATATTATAAGCATCCTTTCCCATTTTGCCCTTGCTCTTCCTTGAAAATTCCATCTATATCCTTTGATTCTTTACAAATACACCCCCATCCAAACACAATCTCTACTAAAATTCCTTTTATTTTACTCCCCACTTTTCCTACTAATTAGGGGTAGAATGGTCATTGTGTCCCAAAAGAAGAATTCTCTAGAAAACTCAAGAAACTTTGTCTTAGGCTCGTCGCCGCGGCGAAGAACTTTGCGTCACCCCGGCGAAACAAGGCAGAACCTACCCGTGGGTGCAATCTCCTCCTCACCGCGGCGAGGCTTCTTCTTCGCCCCGGCGAAGATTGGATTTCCAACTTCACCAAAACTCAACCAATTTCAAGGCAACAATTCAACCAACTCAACATACAAACTCAATTAAAGTTGAAACAATAAACTTTTAACTAATACAAAAAATCTTAAATACGTACCTCAAGTGGGATATTACATTCCACTTCTTTTCTTTTTAGGTCGGCATAGCTCTTTTGTCGATCTTGGGCTTGCTTCATTCTTTCTCTAATAAGCTTAACATCGTCAATCATTTTTTGGGTCATCTTTGGTCCAACTGCTTGAATTAATGAGTCTTTTTCTCCAATATCATCCCAGTACAAAGGGGATCTGCACCTTCTTCCATATAATGCTTCATGTAGGGCCATCTGGATAGTGGATTGGTAGCTATTGGTATAGACAAATTCTATTAGTGGAAGTACATCACTCCATTTGGCTTTGTGATCCATACAACAAGCTCTAAGCATGTCTTCAATCACCTGGTTAGTCCTTTCAGTTTGGCTATCAGTTTAAGGATGATAAGCTGTACTGAAGGCTAACTTTGTACCCAATGCTCTCTGCATTCCAACCTAGAAAGCTGATTTAACCTGGTATCTCTGTCTGACACAATCATCTTAGGTATTCCATGTAATCTCACAATCTCTCTAACATATAATTTCCCCAATCGAAATGCATCTATCTTATCCGTCATAGGTAGAAAATGAGCTGTCTTGGTCAATCTATCAACCACCACCCAGATTGCATTATATCCTTGCTGAACTTTAGGAAGTCCCACAATGAAGTCCATTGAGATATCCTCCCATTTCCATTTAGGAATCTCTAAGGGTTGGAGTAATCCTGATGGTCTCTAATGCTCTACCTTTACTTGTTGACATGTTAAACATCAGGCAACATAATCGACAATGTCATTTTTCATACCTGACCATTAATAGCTTTTCTTCACATCTTGATACATCTTTACACTCCTAGGGTGGGCTGTATAAAGTGAATTGTGTTCCTCACTAAAGATTTTATTCCATAGTTCATCATCTTGAGGTACACATATTCTATCTCTAAACATCAGTGCCCCATTGACTATATTATAGTCTGTCTCTTTACCCTCTATTATCCGTTGGCAGATCACCTTGTAGGTATCATCTTTACCTTGTTTCATCTTGATCTCCTCCACCAAAGTGGGTTTGATCTCCATTTGGGCTAATCCTCCTTCGATCACAATTTCAATTCCTTCTTGGAGGATCTCCTCCTGTAATTGTCCCTATACAGTATTCTAAGATAAAGAGACTTTTCTACTAAGGGCATCTGCTACTGCATTAGCTTTCCCTGGATGGTATTTGATGTCATAGTCGTAGTCTATCACCAATTCTAACCATCTCCTCTGTCTCATATTCAACTCTTTCTGAGTGAAGAAATACTTCAAACTCTTATGGTCAGTGTATATGTTGCATTTCACTCCATACAAGTAGTGTCGCCATATCTTCAGAGCAAAAACCACTGCTGCTAATTCCAAGTCATTCAACTCTTTCTGAGTGAAGAAATACTTCAAACTCTTATGGTCAGTGTATATGTTGCATTTCATTCCATACAAGTAGTATCGCCGTATCTTCAAAGCAAAAACCACTGCTACTAATTCCAAATCATGGGTAGGATATCTTCTCTCATAGTCTTTCAGCTATCTGGAGGCATAAGCAATGACTTTCCTTTGCTGCATCAACACTACTCCCAAACCATTGTGGGAGGCATCAATGAAAATATCATAATCAATGCCTACTTCTGGCAATGTAAGAATTGGAGCTGTAGTTAATCTTTTCTTCAACTCCTGAAAGCTTTGCTCACATGCTTCTGTCCATTGAAATGGTACTTCTTTCTTGGTAAGAGCTGTAAGTGGTCTAGCTATCTTTCCAAAGCTTTCCACGAACTTCCTATAATATCCTACTAAGCCCATAAAACTTCTAACCTCTTTGACTATCTTTGGCCTCTGCCACTCGAGCACCGCCTCTACTTTACTAGGATCCACTGATACACAGTCTTTAGAGATCACATGATCCAAAAAGGTAACCCGATATAACCAAAACTCACATTTTGAAAATTTGGCATATAGTTGTTTCTCTCTTAATCTTTGTAACGCAAATCTCAAGTGCTCGGCAAGTTCTTCTAAAGTCTTGGAGTAAACTAGGATATCATCAATAAACACCACTATGAACCTGTCAAGGACATCATGAAAAACTCTGTTCATCATGTCCATAAAAATTGTAGGTGCATTAGTTAATCCAAATGGCATCACAACAAATTCATAATGCCCATACCTTGTTCAGAAAGCCGTTTTTGGTATATCTTCCTTAGCCACTCTAACCTGATGGTATCCTAACCTTGGATCAATTTTAGAAAACACTGAGGCACCTTTCAATTGGTCAAACAAATCATCTATCCTAGGTAATGAGTACTTATTCTTTACCGTTACTTTGTTCAGTTCACGGTAATCTATACACATCCTCATAAACCCATCCTTCTTTTTCACAAATAGAATTGGAGCACCCCATGGGGAATGACTCAGCTTGATAAAGCCCTTGTCTAACAACTCTTGTAACTACTTCTTCAATTCTTGGAGCTCAGCTAGGGACATGAGATAAGGAGCCTTTGAAATAGGGGCTATACCGGGGGCTAGTTCTATACTAAACTCCACTTCCCTCTCTGGAGGTAAACCTGGCAATTCATCTGGAAACACATCAATAAATTCATTTACCACAGGTACCTCATGTACACTTGGGCTCGAACTCTCTCCCTTATTTACTACATGTGCAATGTACCCATAACACCCTTTTTTCAACATCTTCCTAGCTTTTGCTGTACTAATCATCATGCTAGTTGGGTGCCCTTCTCCAAAAATGAAGTTATCCCCATGGTCTAGATTAAACTTGACTTTTTTCCTACGACAGTCTATCTCTGCTCCATATCTACTAAGAAAGTCCATCCCAAGAATGATGTCAAAGTCTGGTAGATTGAAGACAATTAAATCTACCATCATATCTCGGCCTCTAATGGTCACTAACTCCCCCATTAAGACTTCATTGGTCACTACACCCTCACCATCAGGCAATTTAATCCTAATGGCTTGTTCTACTCTAATAGGCATTAACCCTAATCTCTTAATCATACCATAGGAGATGAATGAATGAGTAGCACCAAAATCAATAAAGGCATACAAGGGAGTATCATGGAATAATAACTGACTAGTGACTACTAAAGGGTTGGCATTTGCCTGCACTGGGCACATTATATACCTTGGCTGTCGTGCCTCCACTATAGGTATTGAAGTTGCGAACCAATAGGGCAACTCTAGCAATATGACCTAGCTGGCGGCATCTTAAACAAACATTGGTCCACTAGACAAACACCCATGTGTCTTCTTCGACATTTCTTGCAGTAATTGACCTCACATTCTCTCTGCTGGCCTTTTTTCTTCATGTCCTTCTGTTGGCTTTAGGTAGGACTCCTTTCTTGCTTTACCCCATCATCTTTGCCAACAACTTGTTCTGCACTACTGGATTGGCCAAGCTGGAGAGGACTACTTGCCACTGTTGGGGGAGAGCTAATTTGGTCTCCTTCCTAAGTACACCTCTGCTCTGATGGCTCTGGAGAGTGCTTCTCTAGCAACTGTAGATTTTTATGACCTGACATAAAATCCTAGCGATAGTAGGATGAAGTCCACCCAAATCTCTCCAATAGATCTGTGGTGTACTGACTAGTGTCGATGCAAACTTAGCCAAGGAGTTGAACTTGATTGAATACTCTTTGACCGTCATATTTCCTTGTTGCAGACTAATAAACTCTTGTAGCTTAGAGGATATCATGTTCGTTGTCCGGTACGCTCCTCAAATAATTCCTTGAACCCTAACCAAGTGAGACTGTGGGTACTGAGTCTGCTCCATAAGCTCCCACCATGTCATAGCATTCCTCTAATAGGGTACGTAGCATACCAGATCTCTCTTGATGTCATAGGAAATAGATCAGTAACTTTCTCCACCAACTTGACCATTGTTCTGCTACTACTGGATCATTAGTGCCGCTAAATTCTGGAGGCTAATGTTTACTGAGAAGCCATAAATCGATTCAATCTGCTTTGGAGCAACAATTGCTTTTGGAGTACTCGTCCTTATTGTTGACTTAGTACCACATTAGTTGTCACTATTGTCACCAAAGTACTTGTACTTTCTAGGGGTTCTCCTTACAGCTCTATAATAGCCTCTTGGATCATACGCTCCAATGTGCAACATCTAAACGGAGCGCTTGAAGTAGCAGCTGCTGGGTTAGGAGCTTTAGGTGCAGTTGGAACATCTTGTGCATTCGAAGCATCACCACGATTGGATCCATTCTCCTGGTTTTTCCTCATATTTATTCCCTATCACAGTCACACATATAACGTTAATCATCTAATCAATCCTTACAAAAATCAGGTAAACATACTTACAGCGATTTGACAACTTAAGCGCGGAACTTTACATGAGGATACTGTCATCAACTCTCATAAATGCTAGACTCTGAAATAGAAAACATCTTAAAACACCCCTTTTTAAAATAACAAAAACTTGCTCTAATACCAAATGTAAAACCCCCTCAGTCAAGTATCCTCTGAATATCCCCCAATGAGAATGCCGGGGATACATGTCTGGAGAGCGAGTGATTAGAAAAAAAAAACGTGTAAGGATAATAATAATAATATCTGAAACATGCATATAAAATGTCATGCAGGATCCAAACTTATAATTTCAAAACTTTAAGAATTTATCCGTAAAATACAGAATCGAAACATATTTATAGGGTGGAGATTCCAAAAGGTGTTTCACAAATATTTATCATTTACATTGTTTACATCAAGAAAAAAAATCGAGAACAATAAATCATCTCCCTCACGTGTAGCCCAACTGTCTCTAGCATCCTTCGCTTCTGGTCTACCTACAAAGCAATCAACAATAAAAAGGGTGAGCGCTAATCACTCAGTAAGGAATGATCCATTTATTCTAAATGTGCTATTTACCTTTATTTAAACATATTTGTTAACCAATCATTTCTTTTATATCTAGGGATACTTCCCCTTTTATTTTATTTTTTTCTTTTCTATTTCATATGTCTTTCATCATTTATCCCATGGCTATATAAACATCAATGCATACACGTACAAAAATAGTATGTAAACATAGTACATGCACATTACATGATGATATAACATCTAAATATCATCTAACATGAGTATAAAATCATCATGATATAAATAACATCCTAACTCATGTAGTGCAACAAATGCATATGAAGCATTTAACGTGTAGCCGATTGGACTTTTCTTAGCGTCTTAAGCACTTCATATCATATAGCTCAAATTCCTCTAGAGCTCATATCATCGAGAGGCGTGCTTACGCGTTATTTAACATCTAAAGCATATATTCTTTCCTCAACCGGTATATGGGATATGCTTACACGTTTCCCATCATGTCTATATGATCTCTTAACACTTATGGATGTAATACATATTTGGTGAGCTTAATACTTTTAATTCATCTATGGATTATCAATCCATTTGCATTACCCTCTTCTCACATACATCATCTTAAAACATGTATTACATTGCATCTTCATGCCACATAACATTAATCATGCATTGACATCATGACCATGTATACTTGCAAAGATCATCAACTAATGAGTAAACCTTAGTAAATTTCATAATCAATAATACAAATAATCATTCAAATCATAAGAATTGATCATGTTAAATCTTAAACTTTAATAAGTAGTTTATATCAGGCCGTTTTCCATCCATTTCTCAAACGAATTGGCTCTTGGCATAAACATAAACTTATAGGTCTGTGTCTTAACGTTCAATTATTCAAGAATCATCTCATTTAGATTTTTATAAACTCAAGGTATGGTTGAAATATGAAGCATGTTTACATAACCCTTAAGCTATAAATCCAAATTTTTCATATTAACTATGCCACATCAATTCCTATTGACAATTAACCAATAGGTAGGTCAACTTATGGATCAAATAAACCTGCCTTTAATAGTCTTTAACATCTTAAAGGAAGTGTAAAATCCATTCCCATAATCATCCATTATTGTTATAACATTGTAAGCTAATGAAAAAACACCCCAACGCTTCTAATAGCAACCCTTCAACACCATGTGGCCTGCAATACTACAAGTTTTGCCACAATCAGTATCCACACTTCATTTTCTTCAATCAAACATCACAACTCATAAAACATAAATAGCAATAACTTCATGTATAATGAATTCAAGGCAATAAGTAGAATAAATGAGTTCAACCACACTTGCCATCAACTAATTCTATGCCTTAAAGCCTTAATTTAAGGTTTCATAAAAATCTACAAACCCTAGCATAAACCCCAAAGTCATGGGAGGTTCGTCCTTACCTTTTTAAAGAATTCCTCCAACAAATCCTTTGCCTTTGTCTTCTTTTACACCTCAATCCTACATATATAACATTATACCTCAACATCTACTTCAAATCTTAAAATCAAAACAAAACTAAAGTTTTTAATCCTTACCTTAAACCCTTCAAATTGAAGATCCAAGGATCCTATCTTGTTCTCCTTGAAAAATTAAGCAAAACTCCTTTAAAACTTAGAGAAAGAAAGCTTGTTTCATGGAAGATTTGAGAGAAGATGGAAGAAATGTTGAAGAAAAGCTCTCTCCCTTGGCTTGAACGAATTTCATCTCATTTATGGGAAAATATTTCATTTATTTTCCAAAATTATGCTCTTGGCCCAATTATTTTAATTGTATAACTCATAAGTCCTTAATTCTTCATATAAGGGCATTTTGGTCATTTCACACTAGACATAATTATTATTTAGTTAATGCCATTAAATGCAATTAAGCCTACTCATCCTTGACTTTTTCAATGCTTATCCATAGGTTAAATGGCCACTTTGCCCCTAATGCCTTTCTATGGATAATTGATTCATACCATTCCGAATGAATTGACTATTTTGCCCTTAGTTAGATTTTTTGCTTTTTAACATAAAATTAACATCTAAAGGACTATTTTGAGTTAGGAACATACCTTTGACATCTTGGGTATTACAAAATGTAAATGCTAGGTTGATGAAGACTATAAAGAAAACTTGCTCAACAATGCACTTGACAGCCAGCCAACAATCTCTTACATGTTTAGCTATTTTGGGAAAGTTTTCAACAACTTTCTTTAGACCACTTTTG